ATCCCTAACACAGCCCCCCCCCCCCCCACCCACCAACCCTCTATCCCCAAAGTCCTATTTTATGCATTTTATTGATGAACAATAAATTTCAAAGGTAACTCATTTGAACATGTCCAGCAAAAATATGGTGGGTGTTAAGATCATCCTGCATGAAGAATTGGAAGAGCTCGAGATAAGCAGTGAACCAATTGGGAATGGTGTTTATGGCAATTGTTTCCTCAAACGATTCAACAGATTACAAATAACAGTTGTTGAAAAGCAATTGATTGAGAGTGTTGACATGTTATACAAAGAAGCAATGTTTATGCAGAGATTTCCCACAGATGTATCCCATTGCTTCCAGGGGTCCAACTGGAGAAGAAACCAATCTCCCTGATAATGCAATTTATTGGGGAGAATAGTAAGTCAATTACAATCTTCAAATTGTTGTTTGATTCACTCTATACTATCAACAACAAGCTTCAAAAATGTCAACAAAAACATGGCTCTGCATATGTTATGACATTGTTGATGCACTTGACCACATGCACCAAAGGGGATATCTCCACTGTGACCTAGAGTCCAATAATGTGTTGGTTGCTGAAAATAAGGGATATCTTATTGACTTCGGGAAAGTTTGTGAGATCTCTCGACCAAAGGTGAAGAAATATAGGGAGGTTTATAGACATATTGCGCCAGAGGTTTTGAAAGGCTCTCCTGTTGCACCAGCCAGTGATACATATTCCCTTGGGAGAATTCTTAAAGAAATTGGCAAGACAATAAACAGTTCAATCCTGTTGCAATTAGCCAAAGCAGCGACAAATCCAAACCCCACACAAAGGCCCACTCTTATGAAAATCCTGAACATGTTGAATGCTGAGAATATCCACAGCTGAGATGCAACTACACAAATGAAATGACAAAAAGTTAGGATAGATATTTGAAGACATTGATCATTGGGATAATATTCAACTCAGTAATCTCTAACATTCTCTACTTTGTTATTTTACTCTGTCTATTCCAGATGATTTTACCTGTCAATCTAGGGGAACAGCATACACATAATTTAAATTTGAATGCTTGATTAGTAATGATGCATGAATGACTAAAGCTGATATGAAAGGATATAAACTAATTAAACTTATTATCTAATATAAATAAATATGCAATGCACAGCCACAGTGACAAGTCTTACAGTGTCTTTCAGCAGTCAGGTAGATCCTATACTGTGTTAATATTACTTCGTTTATTAAACAGATAACTTGACAAAATCATTAAACCTGATCTGAAATATAAACTATACAGCAAAGTCACGGTGATAACTCTTGTGCTGTCAAGATGAATCGTCTTTCGGCAGCAGGTTGCCAGAGTCAAGATATTGTGTCTTTCGGCAACCAGTTTGATCTTAACTGTGTTATTATATTTAAGCACAAATAACAAATTGCTAAAACAGTTAAATTGGTATCAAAAACTTATAAGCAAACTCTAGCCGTGTAATGTAGTAATATTCTCTGAAGATATACCATACATGTATTCAGGTATACATGACTTTTTTAAACATGAATACAAATCATGTGAATATATATATATATATATATATATATATATATATATATATATATATATATATATATATAAATGTGTTCCACAGTCACAGTGATAACTCTTGTGCTGTCACGATGAATCGTCTTTCGGCAGCAGGTTGTCAATTAAAATATTGTGTCTTTCGGCAACCAGTTTGATCTTAACTGTGTTACTACATTTAACCATGTATAACAAACTATTGCTAAATTACCATTAAAATAAATATTAATAACTAATACTAAAGTGTGTTTACTATACATATAATTTGATCATTCTAAAGCATTATCAATCGATGGTACATCATTATAACAATGTGTATGCTTGACATAGATGTTGAATAGGCTACTTAGATGTAACACTACATGAAACATGCTTGAATATCATATATAAATTGGTTTTGTTATTTTCAGGAACTTAATAGAGTTGAAGTCTTTTACAAAATAGTACCAAAGATGAGTAATGACTAATGCACACATATAATGTGAATACTTCTATAATCATATATGTGAACGAGATTCTTCAATAAAATGTACTGAAAGAAGTGGACGACAGGGCCATAACAAGCGCTCTTGTCTCCACAGTCTGGTGTTTGGTTCTGTGTAAAAATTATAAATATAAAGGTAAAAGGGCTGCTTGTATCACAGCTGAAACCTTACTGTTAATAATATTAAACTACAGTACTTTCATGAACATATCAGGAGAATCGGGCTCTTTGAAGCAGGTAAGACAATCACGGTGTCTCTTCATAAGCAATTAATTAATCACTTATTAATAAACTGATCTTTAATATTCACTTTATTTTGGGCCATTATGCCATTGTTTGAAACAGTCAAAAACGTCGTAAAAATGATGAGGGAAACAATTTAGTAAAACGGGAAATTCTCACTTTCCTTTATTATCCATTCCTGGTGGCCGTATTAAGAGACCATAAATTTATACGTACAATAAATATACATCGTGTTGAGACACAAATTTCATTATTTCAAGCAATCAACCTTTATACAACCTACATACTCTCAACATACATATATGATTCTAGTAAAGATTCTATAACGAAACAAGAAAACGGACCGCTTCGCCAGAAAAATAATACACGGATAGAACGAATACAAACCTTCAAGTAAATTCCCATCACAACCCGTACTATACAAACACAGGTTCAAGCCAAATCTTTAGAAAATATACCAAATTCAATATTCTTGATAACGCAACTGCAATGAAACGCCATGTTGCGAACAAAAAGCAGACTGAATTTTACGCCTGACTTCGCTACTTACGCCAAGAGCACTGGAGACTACTAACTTTTTTGACCCGGTCATTAAAGCCGGTTTTCCACTAGGCGGAATTTTGCGCGCGGAGAGGAATTTTTCTTTGTCTTGTGATTTCTCGGGTGGAACTAATTAGAAAAGACAAAGAGAAACTCCGCTCCGCGCGCAAAATTTCGCCTAGTGGAAAACCGAATTTGAACGCACCTGAGTGGCGCACACTCTAGCAAACTGTATACTAAAGCAAATAATAACTCAGTGATTAAGTCGGGTGCGATACCTACAGCTTTATGACTATTACCTAACCTTACTGATTGAAAATACTTCGCATCAATCTTTAATAAGCACCCATCAAAATATTGCCATGCAGTTTGTTCGATCTTGATTTCCATCCTGAATCCATACACACGATTGTCAGGCAGAATGCACTCTTTCTTCAGATCAGATTTCGGCGCAATTTGAACTTTGCGCGGCATTGTCTGCTTATATTATTATGAATTGGTGATGACAACCTTGTTTGTATGTTAGCTCAATTATCATATATGCAACCTCATATCATATTTCACGATGTCGAAGCAACAAGCTCCCAAGCGCAGTACGCGAAATATCTCTATTTCTGCCCAAAATACACCAATGAAAACGGAAGAAACGAAAATAACAAAGAACGTAAAAACACCAAAGACAACAGTAATGAAGGAAAACGGCGAAGACACGAAATTGGATGAAATTTACGACATGATTAAGTCAATGATGATGAAATTGGAAGCCTTAGACAAGATTGAAGAACGCATGAAAACCGTTGAGAATAATGTGATAGAAGTTAAAAAATCAATCGAATTTGCGCACGCAGAAATCATTGATTTAAAAGATGAAACTCGTGAAAATAAGAAATGGCTGAATGAAGCCCAAGCAAGAATAGACAATCTCGAGGAGACGAACCGGAAACTTCGAGACAGTGTAATTGATCTCAAAGCCAGATCTATGCGGGATAACTTATTATTCTTTAATATACCAGAGGAAGAAAATGAGGACACTACACAGATGATACACAAATTATTGGAAGAAAAATTAGAAATTCAAGACGCGACTCATAGCATCAAGATTGATCGATCGCATAGACTTGGCAAGCAACACCACAACCAACGCGGTAAGCCGAGACCTATTGTCGCGAAATTCAATTTTTTTCAAGACCGTGAAATGATAAGGAAAAACGCGAAGAAATTGAGAGGAACCAAAATTGGGATCTCTGAACAATTTCCCGAAGAGATTGAAGAAACCAGAAGAAAGTTGCATCCAGAAATGAGGAAAGCAAAATTAGCTAAGAAGAGAGTGCGCCTGGTGCGCGACAGGCTGTTTATCGATGGTGTTGAATTCAAGCAAAATTAGTTTATCATTGAACATTTAAGGTTGTATCGTAACTTTTTATTACCTTAAACTTAAAATATGTTTAACACACCAAATATCTGTTCTAACTATCCTAAATTAGTTACATCTCACAAAATTGAATCAAGCTTTAAGTGTGAAACATGTAAAAGCTGGTTTCATGTTTGTGATAATTCGCGTCCTACGCGACAGGAAACGGAAATCAAAATCTGCAAAAAATGCGTTAATACCTTATTACCTTTTAGTTCTATTGATAATCCTGAATTTAACTTTATTTTTGGAAACTACAATCGAATACCAAATGACAATGATATCGAAAGACTTTCAGAACTCAAATTTAATCCATTTGACGAAAATATAAGCACCAACTGTGATGCAAACAATACGAATATGACATTGAATCTAGATAACATAAATTGCGACTACTTTTTTCCAAATGACGTAAACACAAACATCGCAAAGAACAAATTCTCTATTCTGCATTTAAATATAAGAAGTATATCTAACAAATTCGACTCTTTCAAGCATTTATTAAACACTCTAAAACAATCTTTCTCTGTAATTGGGCTATCTGAAACATGGCTAAATGATCAAAACTGTGAAAACTTCATGTTAGATGGTTATACTTTCGTTAGCAAAAACAGAAATCACAAGAATGGTGGAGGAGTAGGAATGTACGTTTCCAATAAACTTAATTTTAAAATGCGACCTGATTTAAGTGTAAGTGAAACAGGTATAATCGAGTCTGTATTCGTTGAAATAACATCAACGATTGGAAAAAATATAATCATAGGAACTATTTATAGACCTCCAAATGGAAACTTTGAAATTTTTGAAACCAAACTTAATGATGTTTTATATTCAATCAACAAAACTAGTAAACATGCTTATCTTATGGGTGATTTCAATATAGATCTTTTAAAATCTGATCAAAGTGACTACTCAAACAGATTTAGTGAACAACTTTTCACTTCAACGTTTTTCCCTCTTATTGCAAAACCAACGAGAATTACACCACACACTGCAACTTTAATAGATAACATCTTTACCAATGACTATGAACAAATTGAAACCAGCAAAAATGGAATAATTTTCACAGATATTTCTGATCATTTTCCTATTTTTCATTTTGCAAATACAAGTATCCATCATCAATTGCAATCTGACAACAATTATCATAGGAAAATAGATATAAAAAATCTTTCATCATTTTCAAACGCTATTCAAAATATGACTTGGGACGATATTTTTCAAAGCAATGATGCTACTGAATCTTATGAAACTTTTTTAAAAAAAATAAAAACTGCATTCAACAAAAACTTTCCACTACAAAAGAAAAAGAAAAAAAAGATTGATTACTTTAAAAGTCCTTGGATGACTCACGGTATTTCAAAATCAGGTGTTTTCAAATATTTTCTATAAAGTTTATTTTTTTCAGTTACGGTAACTGAAAAAAATAAACTTTATAGAAAATATTTGAAAACACCTGATCGGAAAAATGAAGAAACATACAAAAAGTACAAGAACAAACTAAATCACCTAGTCAAACTCGCCAAAAAAAATTATTATGAAAAACAATTTGTAAATTATAAAAACAATAGTAGAATGACATGGAAAACGATTAACGAAATTTTAAATAGAAGGAATGAAAAATCCACACTACCGGATAAATTCATAGAAAAAGTTTCCAACAAAGTCTTGACAAATCCAACTGTTATCGCAAACAACTTTAATAAATATTTTATTAATGTCGGACCTGAGTTAGCTAGACAAATTCGCATTGAAAATAATGAAAAATCATTTGACAGGTATCTTTCCGGAAGTTATGTGAAAAGTATGTTTGTTGAGCCGGTTACTGAGATTGAAGTAAAAATTGAAATAGACAAATTAAATCAAAATAAAAGTGCTGGTTATGATGAGCTAAGTGCCAAAATAATAAAGTTCATTGGAAATGAAATATGTAGACCATTAGCTCATATATTCAATTTGACATTTACCACTGGAATTATTCCAGACTCTTTAAAAATAGCATTAGTAACTCCTGTATACAAGGCAAATGAAGACTTTAGATTTCAAAACTACAGGCCTATTTCGGTACTATCATGTTTTTCAAAATTATTGGAAAAAGTAATGTATCAAAGATTGATAAAATTTATTGACGCAAATGAAATCTTGTCGAAACACCAATACAGATTTAGGAAAAATAGATCAACAGAACATGCAATTATTGAAATTACTGACAAAATTTCCAAAGCAATAGATGAAGGCAAATACACAATTGGAATTTTCCTTGATCTCTCAAAAGCATTTGACACAGTCAACCATGAAATTCTTATAAAGAAGTTAGAACATTATGGTATAAGAGGATTATGCATTGAATGGTTTAAAAGTTATTTGAAAGAAAGAAAACAAATAGTAAAATATAAAGAATACAATTCATCAGAAATGACTATTACTACTGGTGTTCCTCAAGGATCAATACTCGGACCTTTGCTCTTTCTGTTATATATCAATGATATTGAAAATTGTAGTAATATTATATCATTTGTCTTGTATGCAGATGACACAAATGCTTTTTATTCAAATTCTTGCTTAACCTCTTTAACGAATATAATGCAAGAAGAAATGAATAAAATTATGAATTGGCTTAATGCTAATAAATTATCAATTAACGCTTCTAAAACGAAATTAATTCTTTTCAAATCAAAAAATAAAAAATTGGAATCTCATAATATTACAATAAAAATAAGAAATGAATTGATCCAAAAGGTCTCTTGTACAAAATTTTTGGGTGTACTAATTGATGAAAATTTAACGTGGAAAAATCATATTGATTCTATATGTAAAACTATTGTCAAGTTTACTGGACTAATTTCAAAATTGCGACATTTTATGAACTTGAACACTATAAAGTTGACCTATTATGCTTTAATTTATCCCTACCTTACATATGGTAATTTAGCTTGGGGTAATACATACCCTTCGAAAATTGAAAAGCTTTTCAGAATTCAAAAGAAGATTATTCGATTAATGAAATTTAAATCATACACAGAACATACAAAACCGCTATTTAATGATTTGAAAATATTAAATATTTTCAAAATTAACGATTACCTTACCAGCTTATTTATGTACCGTTGTAACTGTACTAATGATTTACCCGACATTTTTAATGGATAGTTCATAAAAAATTCAAACATTCATGAACATTGCACGCGAAATTCAAAAAAATTGCATAAAGTTTATACAAGAACAAACTATAGAAAACAATCTGTTGTTAGTAAAGGTATTGACATTTGGAATAATTTAAGTACGGAGTTAAAAAATATTGGATCATATATGGTTTTCAAAAAAAATGTGAAAACATACTT